AGAAGCACTTGTAATGATTCTTTTCCACAGGGCCCATAGGGCCAATATTAAATTTTCGGAGTTTTCGGGCTCTGCCCGTCTCTCCCATCACCTGAACGTCTAACGGTGGATATTGCGCGTTGGCTGATATGCTTTTTGCCGTGAACGGATTCGGAAGGAACCAGTATTGAACGAATATAGTTGTTGTTCCGCACTCGTAATGGCCTCTCTACCACTAGCCGTAGTGACCTCTGCACCACCAGCTGTAGTTGCTTGTAGTCATATTCACCGAGGGCTTTAGCTAAGTGAAACATAATTTCGTGATTTCATATTTGCCTGGCCTTCATGAATAACGCGCGATAACACCACATTGATGTGCAAGGGCCTGTAACGGATTAATGCGTGATTCGATCGATAACCATCACTTCGTTTTGTCATCTTATGGCTCATTTCTGTCATCTTTTTGCTCAGGATAAGATTTGGGGGCCAATAGTCCAGTTGCAGTCCTGATATGTCCTCAAATTATTGTTTTGGTACCCGTGAAGTTGTGTTGTTCCGATTAAAAGAAAAGCAAAGGCTTTTTCTTATATAGTATCTAACCTACAGCATACAGACAGCAAAATAGTATTTTACAGCAATGGCACCGAGGAAACGACCGAATATGTTGAACGACAAAATTCTGTTGCTTTATTTTGAAAGCAGCACATCTTGTTGACATCCAAAAACGAGAGGTGTTAGTCCTTCTTGTGAAGAACTCCTGGTGGCGTTCTGGTTCGTGCTGTTTCCTTGAGCATAATTCCAGGCTGGATCCTGGTTCTCGCTGGATCTCCAGGTTAAATGCGTGCAGTATCGTGTTCTTGCATGTGTGCTGGGTCATGGCTCTTTCCAGGTCCACTGACATAATGCCAGGCTGGATCCTGGTCCTCGCCTAGTCCCTGCGTGCAGTCCAGGCCCCATCTTGGTTCTTGGTCGGTTCTCTCGGCTTATCATGGGACTGGATCCTTGCTACTGGAAGATCGTTCAGCTTCATGTCAGGCTGAGTCCTGGTCCTCACTGCTTTTCTCGACCTATTTCCACCATAGTTCCTGGTTTTCCTTCCGGAACTAAAAACCAGGAAGCGGTTACCAGAATAAATATCCGGAACCAGGCACATGTAAGGGAGTTATATTTTTGTCTCGCACCTTAGTCAAGGAGCGTAGGTCCCGTCAGCGCTCAGTTGGCTTGAGAACCTGCTTTTAAGCTCACCCACCCGCGGCGGGGCGGGTTCGAGTCGCTTCAAATGCTCGCCATTGACCATTGACTAGAATGGTCCGGAGCCACTGAAGGCGGACGCGCTTAAGGTCAATTGACGTTATAAGGCAGGACGGACCCATGCCGGGGATCGCCGCACGGGTCCATCCATGCGGTCTTCGCCGCAAAGTACTGTCGTCGGCGTGGACTTTCGCGATCGGGTGATGGGGCCAGAGTCCGCGCAACAAGCACCGCTTAGTGTAGGCGCGGATCTCAGAAACTCATTCAGTCAGAAACTTGGGACTAAATCACAAAAGATATCGTACACTCCAAAGATATTGTACAAAGACCACAGGCATCGTTCCCCCTGGAATTCGCCTGAACTCACAATTCAGCATCGTTGTCTTGTGCATAATGCAGATAAGCGGCTGCGTGACAACAACGCGATGTAATTTTGAAATCCATCACCAAAACGTCTGAATTACCGCGGTGGTGTCACAACTGCAATCAGAACTTGACGGCACTCGAATTGGGTCTGTTATCATGCACATCCGGGTTGCAAATGTCGCCAGACCGACAAGATCACTTCCATAGATCAATATTTACGTTGCGTTGCATAAACATGAACTTGCAGGGCTGGCAGTAGGGGGAACCATTTCGCAGAATACGCAGTGGATTCATGGGACGTGTGTCGTCTGGCTCCACTTAATACGTTTGAGCCGTTTCTGGCTCTTGGCACTTCCAGTGAATCGTATTAAAACAACTCGTGACGAGTGTTGAGCTATTTTAAAAGGCGTGAGGATATTCTCGTAACTCGAGGTAGACTGTGTAGCCTTGCATCTCTGGCACATGTCTGGTGGGTGCAACGTAGAGAATCGTTGATTTGGTGGGTAACAGATGCTCACGTGCATGGTGCAAACCTCCGCACGCTCCATTGTTCTACTCCCATTTTCACAATGCACCAGTGAAGGAAGCGACCTGGCGATCACCCATGGAGCCACTGCAATGTTTTCGAAGCTCCTGACTATTGTAGCGTACGTCCGATCACTGGCGTGGTCATTGTCTGGCATGCTGGGAGCCGCACCAGCCAGTGAATGGGCAGCTGTATTGCTGGGCCGCACTGGTCGGTGGATGGGTAGCTGTATTGCTGGGCCGCACTGGTCGGTGGATGGGCAGCTGTGCTGCTTGGTCGCGCTGGTCGGTGGACGGGTAGCTGTGTTGCTGGGCCGCACTGGTCGGTGGATGGGCAGCTGTGTTGCTGGACCGTACCGGTCGGGGGATGGGCAGCTGTGTTGCTGGGCCGCCTTCATTCCGCCCCCGCCGCAGCCACGTGTCGGGCCGTGCGAGAGGGCCGGTATCCGCGCGAGCGTGCCTCCCCGCCCTCGGGCGGCGTTTCCGGTCGTGCTGAGGAGCCATCCGGCCGGCGGAAGGCAATCTGTGGTGCCCTGGCAGAGGCTC